AACGTCTGTTATAGCTCTTATCTAGTATCAGTCGGCTTATTTCATGGACTAGTCTAGTTTTATTCTGGTCACTGCTCTATTTACGTAGCACCTTAAAATGGCATTTCTTTTAGTATATTCCTAACAGTTACTTGAATTTTTTTTCATTAATAACATCTATTAAGTGATTTACTCAATGCCAAATTCTGTACTGGAAAAAAAACCACCAGATAAATAAGGCATGATGTTCACTCTCAAGAAATTTGCAATTCAGTGTATTGCTGTGACTAATCTCTCCTGACAGGTAAGGGGGGGAAAGCCTTAGGAAAAGAAGAACTTGCCCTAATCACACAATAAGCCATGATCAGTTGGAATTAAATTATTTTAGTCCTTGTCTTTAGACACTGCTTTTCTTTTTTAAAAATATGTTTTTATTGATTTTAGAGAGAGAGAGAGAGAGAGATATCGATGATCGATCGATCAGCTGCCTCCTGCCCACCCCCTGCTGGGGATTAAGCCCACAGTCTGGGCATGTGCCCTGACCAGGAATCAAATCAGTGACCTCCTTGTGCATGGGTCAACACTCCACTACTGAGCCACACCGGCCAGGCTAGATACACTGCTTTTCAGTGTGTACTGCTACTTCAGGCAGCGGATGTTAGGCACTCTGATACACTCACCACTTTCTCTACAAGAGCTCAGAGGGCCTTGTCTTTGTCTGTGAGGAGAATGGAAATGATCGTTCCCACCCTCATGGCTCCTGCACAAGTGTTTCTAATAGAGCAAGTGATATCCCGGAGTGAACATAAGGAGTAGGACCTAGAGTCAGCAGAGCCATTCAGGTTGGTGGACCTGAACTCTCCCTCAGTCTAAACAGACCATTTTAAGAAGAGTGTTTTAAATCTGTCTAATGCACCTCCATTCTGGAGGTTAAGCTGGGTGTTATGGAGGGCAGTCTTGCAAGAAGCCGTTCAGCTGTGTGCTATCTTTCCTGGCACCTTCCTGGGACAAATTCTTCTTGTTCTGTGCTGGTTGGCAAGGACTCTTCATACAGTTGAATAGCTGAGAGCAGTTACCTAAATTTCTTGGCTCAAAAATGGCTGTCTTAGCAGGAAATAAATTATAGTAAGTTGGTATGGTCCATTGAACAAGGAATTGCACTGTGAACCAGGAGGCTGGCATTTAGACACACTAATTAGATTTGCCTAATAACTGTGATCAGTTGCATCTCTGCTTATGCTGTTATATGCTTTGTGAAATGGGCATGAAACCTACCTCTTACCCAGTTGAAAGTCTTTTTTGAATGAATATAAAGTCTAATATTGCAGAAGTGGCAGGTAAAAGTTAGTGGTATATCTAAGGGGCAGATATTTCTGAGATGGTAGAAAAGAGAAAATTAACATTTATCGAATAACAACCATGTGCCAGGCACTGATAATGTATTTTCTGATTTAATTCCTATAATAGTTCCATGAGGTAAGTATTATAACCTTCCTTTTTTCAGGTGGAAAATGAGGCTCAGAGAAGCTAAATGTCATGCCTAAGGTCACACAGCCAGTAAGAGGCAGAGCTGTGACCCTTGCTCAGGCTGACTTCAAACCAAGTGTTCTTTCTACTGCATTATGCTGCTGTAGGGGATCTGCATGTTTTGTTTCTGTGTTTAGAGCAGAGTCTTATAGAGACCCAAAAGTAAAGATAAGTCGGAGTGAAAACTTGATTGAGGTTTAGGGGCAGTAACAGAAAGCAGCATTATCAGATCAACTTCTGGTCCAATCCCGAGTAGCAGAAGCAGGGCTGTGGGAGGATATGTTGTCGGTGATGGTGATTGGTGGGTGAGTCTAAAGGAGCTGCTTGGTTTACTTTGCCCCCATTCATTAGTGCCTTAGGTGGCTGACCTGTTACTCTTCTCTGCAGGGTAAAGCCCACAGCTTGAAGCCGAGCGTAAGGGAGAAGCTGGCGGGCAGCCCGGTTCGCTCTTACGAAGACGTAAGCCAGCGAGTCTATCTCTACGAGGGACTCATAGGTGAGAAACAGACCGGAAGGTCGCTGGCACTGGAAGGAAGCTGGACTCAGCCCGGGGGAGAGGGTGGAACTGAACAAGTAGCTGCTTGGCTCTTTGCTGATCTCAATGCTGATGTTAGAGGGCATTTTTACGTCTGAAGCAGGTGACTTACTGGGTCTGGAAGAAGCGGTGGGTGAAACTTTCTAGAAGAGACTGGATCTTGGTATTAATCAATAGCCTCTGTGTTTCTGTCTTCCTTTCTTTCCTTTCTTGCTACCATGATCCTTCCTGCTTGCAAACCGGCAGGAAGGGACAAAGGATCGATGTGGGACCAGTTAGAGGATGCTGCTATGGAGACCTTTTCTATGAGTAACCACCTTTCTTTGTGTGCGGTGTTCATCCCTCCTGCTCGGGGGATTGGGCCTCACTCGGAGGCAGTGGGGCTCTAGATCCGGGGTGGAGAGGCTCAGGTTTCCTTTGCTTTGGGATTTGTAATGACTCCCATTTACTCTACTTTGGTTGCCAACTATATTCTTTAAATGTTGTATAAGCCCCTAAAGACCTCTATCCTACACAGGTAAAGAGCGTTCTACGTTATGGGACCAAATGCAGTTCTGGGAAGATGCGTTCTTAGATGCTGTGATGTTGGAGAGAGAAGGGATGGGTATGGACCAGGGTCCCCAGGAGATGATAGACAGGTATGAGGCTTAGGAAATCCTTGGGAAAATTCAGCCTTTTCGTAGTTGGTTCTGTGGTCTCCCACCTGAGGGCTGACTTGTCCCTGGTCTCCTGCTTAGGTACCTGTCACTGGGAGAGCATGACCGGAAACGCCTCGAGGATGATGAAGATCGTTTGCTGGCCACGCTTTTGCACAACCTGATCTCCTATATGCTGCTGATGAAGGTAGCGTCGATTTTGCTTATGCCTAGCTGCTGCTGAAGGACAAGGCTCATGCCCATCATGTGAATTCTGGGGCAGCTGGGGAGCTGACAGAACATCTCACTAGGGCTCTCTTTCTGATTGAAAGTCTCAGGCCTCTCTGCAGCTCACACAAGCTTCATTTATCTGAAGCTGGCAGGCTGTTGTCCTAAGAAAGATTGCAAAGGTGATTGATGATTCCAACCCATTTGTTTCCTTTGAATTTTAAATGGGGTTCCTTTGCTAAATAGTTTTAGGATTCCAGTAGAGCTTCCCACAGAATACAATGAATTTAAAAAAAATTTTAAGTAGTTGGTTCTAAAAAGTTTAAAAAGGATTCTCAGGATTCACTTTTTAGCACTAGCCCTTTATCATAGAATTTTCCATAGATATAAAAAGGGTTACTTATTTAAAAAGTAATGGTAGCTTCTAGTTTGACATGGTTGTACAGTGGGGTCTTGACTTACGAGTTTAATTCATTCCGTGACGGAGCTCATAACTCAAATTACTCGTATGTCAAATCTTAAAGTGAACGGGTGAGACACATGATACTGGGCTGATGTTGTGGCATTCACTGTGACATTCGCTGTGCCAACTAGCGGTGGGGTATCTGAAGCTGGCTCGTAACCCGAATTTTAGCTCGCAACTCAAAGCAAAAAATCGGCCGAGAGACGGCTCGTATCTCGAAAAACTCGTTAGTCGGGACACTTATAAGTCAAGGACCCACTGTACTTGGTGTTTATAGCTGTGGGGAAAGTATGTTACCAAATAGAAGAGTTAAGGGACTTAGTGAGTAGAAGAGAGTTGTTTTGACAATGAGCCCCTGGGTTTCTCCTCCCCCTGTTCTCCCAGCCTCTCTAAATGTGCAGGGATTGGTTGATCAAATATAGAGAATGCCTTCCAGGTAGGCCCTCTTAGTTTGTTTCATTTTCTGTTGTAAGTCTCACTCTACTCTGTTGAACTGGAAGGGTTCTAGTTACCTCTGGTTGGGAAAGGGTGCTGACCCTAAGGCAGTGGTCGGCAAACCTCGGCTCGCAAGCCACATGCAGCTCTTTGGCCCCTTGAGTGTGGCTCTTCCACAAAATACCACGTGCGGGTTCGCTCATACAGTGCAATTGAAACTTTCTTGCCCATGCGCAGAAGTCGGTTTTCGGCCTGGGCGAGTCTATTTTGAAGAAGGACTGTTGATATTTGGCTCTGTTGACGAATGAGTTTGCCGACCACTGATTTAGGCCAATAAATATTTTTGAGGTACGTTTGCTGAGGTCGACCCCTTCCAGCTCTCCCATCCACGCTCGTCTGTCTGGAACAAGTAAACAAGACGAGTGTGGATGGGAGAGTTGGAAGGGGTTGACCTCAGCCAACGTACCTCAATCAGATTGAGGACGTTTTTAGCAAAGGCCAGCTTAGGAGTACCCTAATTAAGTTTATTAATGTACCTACCTATATAGTTTAAGTTTAAAAAATTTGGCTCTCAAAAGAAATTTCAATCGTTGTACTGTTGATATTTGGCTCTGTTGACTAATGAGTTTGCCGACCACTGGGCTAAGGTGTCCTGGCTATGAGTGAGTACACAGTGTTGCTACTCTAAGTCACTGTTTGTGAATTATACTCTAAGGAATCCTGGGGGGCTTTTAGAGCCGCATCAGGGATGAATGGTACAGTATTGGTTGGGGATAGGGAGGAAGTGTCTCCTTAAGCCCCAGTCACTTAAACCAGAACTGCTCTGAAAGCCACTTCTCTACCGAAGCCACCGAGAGACAGACCGGGGTTTTTCTGGCAGAACACACATGGAGTGTTTTCTCCCCTGTTCAGTGATACACTTCCCGCAGACAGCAGGAAACTTACTGGTGCATTCCCCCTACCTAAGCTGCGAGCAGAGCAGGTCCCTTAGAAAGATCCTCTTCTGGCTTCCCAGGTACAGAAGAATGACATCCGGAAGAAGGTGAGGCGCCTGATGGGAAAGTCCCATATTGGGCTTGTGTACAGCCAGCAAATCAATGAAGTACTTGATCAGCTGGCCAACCTGGTAAGCATCTCGGGGCTGTTCCTTGGGCTCCCTTCCACGGCACTTGCCAGCCTCCCAGGCTTGGGCCTCGTGGCCTCATGCGGAGGCTTCCCACTGGCCATTTCTAGGCTTGCATATGTTCTAAGTCCCCAATTTTGAAAATAGAATTACTCTACGTGAGGCCTTAGCCTTTCTGTTCTATGATAGGATTCTCTGTACTAAATGGCTAGTGCAGCCATTTAACACGTGGTCCGTGGACCCCTGAGGGTCCACCAGGTGAAAACTATTTTCATAAGAATACTAAAATGTTATTTGCCTTTTTTACTGGTTGAATTTGCACTGATGGTGGGTAAAACTACTGTGCCTTAACACAATGAAGGCAGTGGCACCAAACCATGCCAGTGGCCACTGTAGTCCTCACTTCCATGCATTGCATTCTCAGTTAAAACAAAAGAATGTCCTTGATGAAAGCAGTTAAAATTAATTTTATTGTATCTGATCCTTGATTATATGTCTTTGTAATATTCTGTGTGACAAAATGAGACATTTGCATAAAATATTTCTACTGTAAGCCAAAATATGATCATTTCAAGGAAGAGCAGTTGTGACCGTTTGAGTTGCAAGGTGAACTGGCAGCATTGTTCATGGGACATCATTTTACTCGGAAGAATGGCTAACAAACTATGGTTATTCATTGTTGGGTCTGGCACTTAAACGTGAAGCTTCCGGATATTTAAACACTTTTCAATTGTGATTGATGATGATGTTAATAAGTGTGGATATTTGATATTATGAAATATGTCAACATTCAGAAGAACTGCATAACTTGATGAACCAGTATTTTACAAATGACTAATGTGTCATGTTACAAACTCAAGTATAGGTAAAAGAGCAGAGCAGATCCCTTATTAAGATCCTCAAAATGTGAGGCAGAAAAATGGATTTTTAACAAAGTGCAGACTGTTCACTGATGTGTTTTCAATTCCACATTGCAACCAAGTTTTTTAGAAATGGCTACTTCTCAAGTTTTGGTACAGTGTCAAAGAAGGATGTGCATATTTATCTGGGAAGGCTATTAAAATACTCCTCCCCTTTCCAAATATATATCTGTGAGGCCAGGTTTTCTCTCTATGTCCTCACCTAAGCAATATATCACAACAGATTGAATGCAGAAGCAGATATGAGGATACAGCTATTTTTTTATTAAACCAAACTTTAAAGAGATTTGCAAAAAAAATAAAGCAGTGCCATCCTTCTAATTTTTGTTTTGGGAAATATAATTGTTTTACCAAAAATATGTTATTTATATTACTATGCTTCAACTTATTATTCATAAGCTTTTGGGGGTTGTCAGTGATTTTTAAGGAGTATAGGAGTTCTGAGACCAAACAATTTGAGAGCACTTCCCTGGTGGCCAATGGCCAGCAGATAGCACGCTACTAAGAAAGCTTATATGTATTTAATTGCTGAATGGGGGATTCTTGGCACTCTGTGAGAGGGATGTATGTATGGACGTCCCTAAAAGATCTCTCTTTCCTCAGAATGGCCGTGATCTCTCTGTCCGGTCCAGTGGTAGCCGGCACATGAAGAAGCAGACATTTGTGGTACATGCAGGGACAGACACAAATGGAGATATCTTTTTTATGGAGGTAGGTGCTGGCTCATGCTAGAGGCCCAAAGGAACATTTGAATGTCACAAGGAACTCCTAGAACTGATGCCAGGATATTTTACCGTTTATCTCATTCACCTTCATGATCCATTTAGCATTAAATTGTCAGGTTCTTATGCAAATAATATAATAGTTATTCCCCATCATTTCTTTCACATATTTATATTTATATTTATATAATAAATGATATAGTCACATTATCCATAAGTCAGAACAACATAATATGATACATACGTTGGGAAGCCTTGCTCTCATTCTTATCTATATCCACCTCCCCCTTCCTCTTATAAGTAACCACTTTTATTGGTTCCCTTTGTATCTTCCAGTTTTTTTACACAAACACAATAAAAACTGAACATAAATTCTTATTTTTCTCCTTTCTTAGCACATTGTATCTATCCCTGATCTGTACCTTTTTTCATTAGACATATCCTGGAGACCTTCAACATCAGTTTTTTTTAAAAAAGAGCTTTTTCATTCTTTCCACAGCTGCATAGTATTTCACTGTGTGGCTCTACCATAGCTCATTTAACCAGTTGGTATATGTGTACCCTTGGTTTTCTTCCAGATTTTTGCTGTTGCTAATAACCTACTATGAATGATGCTGTGCCTGCTTCATTTCATACATGTGTAGGTTTATCTAAGAGTTTCCAGAACCTTTTGATGTACTAGACAACGCTCCAACCAACAGAGCCACACCAGCCAGGCTCCACCTATTTTTTTTTAAACAATGCTTCATTGAATATCCTTAAATATATATCTCTGCACACTCACATGAGAATTTCTATAGGATAGCCCTGGCCAGTGGCTCAGTGGATTGGGCATCATCCCATGCACTGAAAGGTTGCTGGTTCAATTCTCGGTCAGGGCACGTGCCTGGGTTGTGGGCTTGATCCCCGATAGGGGGCATATAGGAGGCAGCCGACCCATGTTATGCTCTCACATATATGTTTCTCTCTTCTTCCTTTCTCACTTAAAATCAAACTATTCTTTAAAAAAGTTTTTAAAAAGATAATTCCTATAAGATCGATTCTTAGTGTGAAATTTCTAAATCAAGGTTATATACATTTAAAATTTTGATCAATTCTGCCAAGTTGCCATTCCTAAAACTATGCCAGTTTGCACCTAGACCAGCCGCATAGGCGAGTATGACATATTATTACCATCATCTCCCTAGGCTAGAAATTAGGTGTTCTCCTAAATACTTGCCCCTCTCCTTTACAAGATGTTCTTCTAGGATTATGGAGAATGGAACGGTATTGTCCATTTTCCACATGGGAAAAAACTGAGTTAGACTGGGGTAGAACCCAGGTTTCTGACTCTTACTCAGCTACTTTGGACCTTTTCTTCACAAGGCTTTTAGGAGCCCAGGAAACTCTTAGGTAATCAGTTAAATCTGGTAGTCTTGTATGCTCCTTATTTACTCACCTCATGTTTATGGAGCACACATTATATGGTAGGCACTCTGCTGGACTTGGGCTTTCAGCAGTGAATAAGGGAGACGTGGTTTCTGCGGCCCTTGCAGAGTTGACAAGCCCTTTCAGATGTCAGATAATGAAATAAGCAGTGTCATAAAGTGCGATGAGCATTGTGAGAGATGTTCAAGGCAGGTGTTATGGGAATGCATAGCAGAGGGCCTAGGAGTCATGGAGGACCCCTCAGAAATGACCTTCGAGCTTAGATCTGAAGAGCAGGGGTTAATGGTAGGAGTGGGGGAGTGTTCCAGGGACATTTGAGGTGTAGAGAGAGGGAAAGGAAGGAGTCTTGCATGACTCCTGCACATCTGGCGTGGGCACTGGGTGGATGGTGACGCCATTACTCATACAGGGGACTTAGAAGGAGGATCTGCCCAGGTGAAGATGTTGAGTGGAGATTGGAGATGAATTTGAGGTGCCCCCTGTGAGACATCCAGATAGAGGGAGGTCAGGAACTCAGGAAGATAGGTCTCATGTGGAGAAAGATTTGAGAGCCATCCACATGATCATCATAATTATTATATTGCTTCTATCATAATTGTTGTTAGAGCAGCTAACACTAGGGTGCTTTCTATGTGACTGGCTTTGTTCTAAGCAGTTGATGCAAAGTTATTTAATCTTCACAATAACTCCATGAAGTTATTACTATTATTCTCCTCGTCTCACATGAGAGGAAAAGTAGATGCAGGCTTATTTGCTGAAGGAGGCATAGCTGCAGAAGAGGACAGTGGAACCTCACCCAGGCAGTCTGCGCTTAGCTCTGCTCTTAGCCACTGTGCTGTGATGTCTCCCATAATACCTCTGCCCCAGGGAGACTGTTGAGCAAGAAGAGGATGTGAAGGAAGACTTTGCTTTTTAATGTTTATCATCCTGTATGTATAATTTTTTTGCAATAAGTATTGTCCATCACTTGTGAATTAATTTTTGTAAAGACTTATGCAGAGCCCTGGCCGGTGTGGTTCAGTTGGTTGAGTGTCGTCCCATGTACCGAAAGATTACAGGTCAGGGCACATGCCCAGGTTATGCGCTTGATCCCCGGTAGAGGGCATGCAGGAAGCAGCCAATGTTTCACTCTCACATCAGTGTTTCTCTCTTTCCCTCTTCCTTCCTCTCTCTCTCTAAAAAAAAAAAATCAATAAAAAGTTTTGTGTTTTTTTAAAGATGTATGCACAACTAGGGCCAAATCAAGTTAGAAATGTGTTGATTCCATTTTTTCTCCTTGATTAAGCCTGCCATGACCCCCTGCCTTTGTGCTTATCAACAGAGGTACTCCTCAGGTTATAAGGTGGAGGCATGAGCTGTCCGCTGAGTACTTTAAATCCAGAACATGTAAGAGGTAATGAACATTGATGGGAGTGAAAAGTGAGCCTGGCTGGCATAATTCAGTGGTTGAGTGTCAACCTATAAACCAGGAGGTCACGGTTCAATTCCTGGTCATGCCTGGGTTGCGGACTCGATCCCCAGTCGGGGGTGCAAGAAGGCAGATGATCAGTGATTCTCTCATCATTGATATTTCTATCTCTCTCTCCCTCTCCCTTCCGCTCTCAAATAAAAAAAAATTACACATTTTTAAAAAGAAAAGTGCTTACAGATTCCTTTTCTTTCAATAAACCTTCCAATGTACAAAGTGTCCAGCAGTTCAGGGTCTGTGTCTTCATCTAAGGAAGACGATGAGCATAAGTCAGAGACCCTGACCCTGGGGATGCCCCAGAACCAGTTGTCCCAACAGTGTCGTGTGGCCTGGGATGCGCGGGCCCCGCGGGGACAGGAACGCTGACCCGCTCTCGGGGCCCCTCCAGGTGTGTGATGACTGCGTGGTGCTGCGCAGCAACATCGGGACAGTGTACGAGCGCTGGTGGTACGAGAAGCTCATCAACATGACCTACTGCCCCAAGACCAAGGTGCTGTGCTTGTGGCGCAGAAACGGCTCGGAGACCCAGCTCAACAAGTTCTACACAAAGAAGGTACCCATGGGCTCTGTGGGTTGGGGGTGGGCGTGGAGGGCAAAGTGTTGAGTTTCTTGTACGGGAGTTAAAGTTCCAAAATCCATGGCTAGAGCCCCACTTTTGCCTCTGGCTGCCGTGTGGGATTCGTGAAGCTGTCCTGAGGTCCGGGCAGTGGCCCAGGCCCTCAGGAGCCCCTGCGGAGTCGAGGTGGGGAGACCTGGAAGGCTTGAGTGACACGGCTCTCTCCCGGTGCCGCAGTGTCGGGAGCTGTACTACTGTGTGAAGGACAGCATGGAGCGTGCCGCCGCCCGGCAGCAGAGCATCAAACCTGGTAAGGAGAGAGCTCCCTGAGCGCGTGCCCCCGTGTGTGTTCATCAGCCTCCGTTCGTGTCAGAGGCCTGGCAAGGACGTCAGGCTATGGACTCCCTGTCCCCCAGCGAGCTGACCACCTGCTCCCTCACCGCAGGGCCTGAACTAGGTGGCGAGTTCCCCGTGCAGGACATGAAGACTGGTGAGGGTGGCTTGCTGCAGGTCACCCTAGAAGGGATCAATCTCAAGTTCATGCACAACCAGGTAGGTGCAGGTGGCAGCCCAAGGCTTCCTGGCCCTTGTTCCATCTGCATTAGGATCAGTGTCAGGGTCCCCAGGGCTTTCCCAGTGAGCGTGAGAGAGGGCCTCAGGGGCTAGTGGGAGAGCTGGAGCAGCTGGACCGGGGACAGATCAGAGAGGAGGGCATGAGACGCTGACAGCCCCTTGGAGGTGCAGGAGGGCGGTTCTGTGGGAGACCCGGGAAGAGAGGGCGCCTCGTCGTCAGACTCACGAGACAGCACAGTGTGAGTGGGAGCGTCTCACTTGGCCCTTCGCAGCGTCTGCCTTCCCTGTGCCCAGGGCACACTCCTGCTTGGTGGTTTTGCTTTGAGTCTAGACCAGCTGATCTCGCTCGTGTGTCTGGTGTGCGTAGTTTGTGTGTGCGTGTGTGAGTAGCTTGTCTCTATCCTACTGGCGTGTTTGCTTTTTCTCCTGCTGATTCCTCTTCCTCCTCTTTTCCTCCCTCCAAGTGTCGGTTCTGCCCCGCCTCACAGGCCCACCCCCTTCCTTTGACCGGGACACCTCAGGATCCGTCTCTCCCGCACTGTGATTCCACAGTAGGAGCTGACTTGCTTCTTTCTCCTGGTCCTTAACTCAATGTTACTTTTTTTCTCTGTGGACATCCCTTAAGCTAATTCCTTTCTGAGGCCAGCACATCATCCCCGGTCCGTTCCCAGTTCTGACTCTTCACCAAGTGCCTCCCCTCCCCCTTCCCTGTTCCTCTCCTGAGGCTCAGAGCCAGATCCGCGTGTGGGAGCCACAGCCCTGGCCAGGCAGCAGATACCAGGAGGGGAACATCTAGAGTCCGTGCCTCCTCCCTCCACTTGCCGCGCTAGTTCTTCAGGAGTCTAGCTGGGCAGCTTTGGTGCGATGGCAGTGTTTTCCTTAGTATGTTGATTAGTGGTAACAGTAATGTTGTCAGTGGTACCCAAGTACTTGTCTGGACCCTGAAGGTGCTGACACTTCTTGGGGAGCAGGCTTCTTAACCACATTTTAGTGCTGTGGCCTCCACCAATGCCTCACCTTCTGAAGACAGGATCTCAACACCCAGATGCCCTCACCGGGTCCCACCCTCGGTATATGGCCCCTTCGGACGGACCTAACGTCTAACTGTTACAAAGCACGTCTGAGCTGGTCTGGAGTTAAGGCTTTGCCCCAGAAGAGAGAGATCCTACAGAGGGCGGATCCGAGCCTGACTGACAGTGAGATGAGGGCCACAGAGCCGTCAGCTGGGGTTGAGGAGCCTGGGACCCTCCAGGGGCGTGACACAGTTGGGGCAAACAAATGGCAAAAGCATGGTCTTTGGAGTCAGGACTGACTGGGATTCGGAGCCCAACTTTGTTATTCACGGGCAAGTAAACTGTGTGACCCCCAGGGTCCTCCTCTGTGAAGTGAGGGTGGACCTCTGTGCTGTGCCTCATAGATGGAAGGATTGCACGTAGCATTGGCAGAGCTCCCAGTGGGTGCTCATGAGTGGTAGCTGTTGTTGTCATCACCTCGTGCTTCTTGGGAGAGCCTGGATCCTGTTCCAAGGAAGATAGCAGCGCCTCACCCCAAGGACAGTCTGAGGGGAGCTTTGCGCCCGTGCCAGCCCTCTGCGCCGGAGGAGGATGCATGGAAGGGTAGAGAGCTGATGGGCTAAGTGGGGGGACCCCTGGGGCACAGTGTCCCACAAATGCTGCCCTGGACACAGGGTCCGGGCGGGCAGCCCAAGCCAGCAGAGGGGCCTTTGGGTGGGTTTGACCATTAAAACTAACGCCTTCATTTCTCTCCCATGCTTTCTCCTCCGGCCAGGAGCGGAAGGTACATGCCCTTTCTGCTATCTTCGCTTCTTAGCGCTTTTGAGTCATGTGTGTATGTGTGTGTGTGCGCGCGTGTGTGTATGTGTGTGTGTGTGTGTGTGTGTTCTTCTGTCCTCCCTTTGGGAACTAGGTTTTCTGTGTGGGGGAGGGGCTGTAGCGGTGAGAGGGGGCTTGTGGGCAGGGGAGCCTCTGGGCCTTACCCCCTCCTCCCTCTCTTTCAGGTTTTCATAGAGCTGAATCACATTAAAAAGTGCAATACAGTTCGAGGCGTCTTTGTCCTGGAGGAATTTGGTAATTACACTATTTTGCTCTTAGGTCTGGACTCACATGGCAGTAACTCAAACCTCGGAGCTCCAGAGGAGGCCTAGAGGCAGAGAACCTCTGCAGAGAGGCCTGGAGGGCAGGCGTGGTAGGGAAGAGAAGAGCCCCGAGAGGACAGAGGGGAGGAGGAAGAGACAGTGGCGGCTAGGGAGTGGGTCCCAGAGAGCACGTGGCCTTAGCCGGGTTAGCGTTTGGAGGTGGCACTGCAGGAGCTCCGTGCACTGGCACCAGGTTCCCTCAGTTGGCCAGCCAGTGGTCAGAAAGTTCTGGGGCAGAGCAGTCAGGCCATCCCCACACCTGCTAGGTCACACCACCTGCTCCGAGCCTCCTAGTAGCCCAGGGTGCCATCCATGCACCCAGTGCCTCTCCAGCGTCTGCCCAGCCCCTGTGCTGGAAGAGGGGCAAGTGGCGGCCCAGGCAGACTCACTCTAGAAGGCAGAGAAGCCTAGTGGACCCCAGGGGCAGACGGGGCAGCTGGAGCTGGAAGCCAGGAGCCAGCCTCCCCCAGGCCCAGTGGACCTGTAGTGCAGGGGTTCTCACCGTGGGGCTTTGAGTTCCTGCTGTGTTTGTGCTTCATTCTTTTGTGCCCCTCATCGCTGCTATGAAAACCTTCGTTCTCCAGCAGGTAACGTGGCCCGGGCTGTGCTGCCTCCCCCCAGGCTCCACCTGGGGCCCTGCGGTGGGTGGGGCGGGCTCCCTTCAACCAAGGCAGCTGCTCACATCGCCAGTCCGTCTTCTCTCCCCTCCCTCTTCCTTCCCAGCCTCCCCCACCCGTGCTGGCTCACTGGTTCTGAGGTTCTCCCCGTGTACTCCCTCTCTTCTGCCAGAGAGAGCTTGGGGGGAATCTTCCGACTCAGGAGAGGACCTGCGCTTCTTGCTCCACCTTTGTTGGGTTTATTCCCTGGTAGCCCTGGGTCCCTGAATTCACCTCCCAGGGCCAGGAGGTGTGGCCAACTCTCATCCTACCTTTCTGGTCCCCAGGGGACGTCATGCCCGGCTTCTCCCAACTGCAGGGGCCATGATGATGGCTGCGCCTGTGCCCTACGCCTTCCCCTGGCCAAGCAGAACCCTGCATGGCTGGGGCAGGGGCGACTCTGAGTCTGGCATTTGGGGCTGTGGACGTGTGTACCTTGCCTGATGCCTCCTGTCACCTCCCTCCCGGGTGCTGTGCTCGCCTGCCTCTCCTGCTCGGTGTGTCTGCTCCAGAGCCCTCTGACGCTCTCCCTCACACAGGCGGGCCTGGCCTCTCCTGCCACTCAGGAAAGGAAACGTACACATCTGGTGGGTTTAGTATCAACACGCCTCATCCAGCCTCAGGACGCTCTGTGTCGGGGCTGGGAGTACAGTTTCGGCTGGTGACAGGGATGCAGCTCTCTTCTCCCAGCCCGACTGGGGGTACTTCACCCTCCTGTGCTTCTCAGGGGCCCTGGACAGCAGCAGGGACCAGGCTGGTGAAAGATTAACCTGCTGCCGTGCCGGGGCTCCCAGAGAAGTGGGTAGAGTCACGGCCACCAGCAAGGAGCCATGCAGACCTCAGGGCAGTGTCTGGGGACGTGTCCTCTCCTCCTGCAGGGGCTGGACAGACGCTGCCCTAGCCTGAGCTGCAGCCCTAGGAGCAGCCCAGAGGGAAGGGCCCTGTGCCGGGCGCCGCCGCCTGGGGGAGCTCGGCACTACTCTTAGTTTTGAACTTTCTGTTTTGTTTTTTGCCCGTCCGGTTTTAGTTCCTGAAATTAAAGAAGTGGTGAGCCACAAGTACAAGACACCCATGGTGAGTGTGCCATCAACCCTGACAGGCCAGTCTGCACAGGGCTTCGGACAGAACGGGGGCTCTGCAAGCACAGGGTGAGGGGTGATAGGAGTGATCTGAGAGGCGAATTTGGTTCGGATGCCAGAGGTTCAGCTGAGGCTGACAGGTCTTCAGCCCTGGGGGAGAGACGTACACTGATCCCTTCTCCCACCGGCCAGCTCTGAGGCCTGGCTGAGGCCCGAGCCCAGGGCGAGGCGCGGGTTTCCCTGGCAGAGCTCTGTGTGAAGAGGTGAGGTCTCAGGGGTGTTGATCCACCTGGTTTTCTCCCCGTCTAGGCCCACGAGATCTGCTACTCGGTGTTGTGTCTCTTCTCGTATGTGGCTGCGGTCCGCAGCAGTGAGGACGACCTCCGAACCCCACCCCGGCCCGTCTCCAGCTGATGGAGGGTGACGGCTGCCCCAGCCCAGGGGCGCCCTGGCTTCTTGCCTCTTGCTGTTCCCCAGTGCACGATGCTGCTAAGACCAGATGCGGATGACGCGTGTTCTCTGCAAGCCCCTCGCGTGGCTTTGGTGGTTCCCAGTTATGTGTCTGTTGGTGTGTCTTAGTGTGTTCATCACAGGGCTGAGCTAGTCTCTTCCGCCTTCTCCCTCTTCACTCCCAGAAGACCAGCCTACTGTTCCCTCAGGGCTTGGTGTGTGAGTGTGTGTGAGTGTGTGTGTGTGTGTGTGTGTGTCTGTTGGGCCATTGGCTTCTAAGAACTCTTTGGCACAGGCCAGTGTGAGTCCACGCCTGCATGCCCTTGAGACATTTGTGTTGTGGCTCCGTGTCCTTGGCATTGTGACCTCCCAGCGCAGGACTCTGGCTCTTGTCCTCTGTGATCCGTCACAGCCCGACGCCTGGAACAGCCCCCTCTGGGGAGTGCGGGAAGCTTGAGGCTTCCTGAGAGGGGTAGGTGGCGAGAGGAGGGAGAGGCCGGGGCAGCAGCGTGAGTGGCAACCTCCCTGCTTCCTGACGCATTTCCTAAGCTGGCAGCTACCACCCGCCTGCCCGTGGGCCACACACAGTCTTGCTGCTGTCACCGTGGCCTCCACCACTCAGCGGAGCAGCTCTTCCCTGGGGGCTGCCTGGTCTTAGGCAGAGGAGAGCAGACTGGTTGGGGCCAGGAGACTCCCAGGAACCGGAAGGGGTGGGCAAAGGCCACGTTCGGTATACACACCCGTGTCTGCAGGCGCGTTCTCCTGGCACCGGGTGCCAGAGGGAGAGAGGGCCTGGGGGTGGGCAAGAGATGACTGTACATATTTATTTCAGCTCCACATTATTTATAGAAAATGTACAGACGCGTGAATGTGAAATAAATGTCCTTAACTCTCCGTGGGCTCCTGGCACTAAGTGATGCTTCCTCTCGCCTGGGCCTGAGGAAGGCTGGCCTGGACTCTACAAAGGCACCTCTGGTCTGAAGGGAGCGGGGAGATGAGATCACGCCCATCTGAGCTCCGGCGCTGAAGCCCAGCCTCCCACCTGCTGGCCACACAGGGCTCCTCCCCACGCTCCCTGGGCCCCCTGGGTCCTGTTAGGACCCGCAGAGGGCTGCTGCGCTCGGAATTGGCCACTAGAGGGGGCAGCCCAACCGGCTGACACCTGAGCAGAGATGAACTTGGCCGTGAAGGAAAAACCCGCACAGCGTCCCAGCTCTGGGTGTCCCTTCCAGGTGTGATCCCTAGTGCTGTCCCTCGGCCAGGACCTGGAGCTGCACACAGACACTGGGATGGGCCAGGAGTGTCGGGTTGGGTGGAATGTGGAGAAGCGACCCTGGGCCCGGCCGTCAGAACGTTGTTTTCTCTACCGTGGGGAAACCTCACCCTCCTTGGCAGGAAGGACCCTCTACACCACACTGTCAGGGCTCCTCGGAGACCTGCTGGCTTCCTCCTTCCAAAGGGAAACGATTGTCAGGTGTGGGCTCCCCGTCGTGGGATCCAGGTGTGCCTAGGCCATGGGTTTGTTGCCCACCAAGACCCCACAGCAGCCCCCAGGCTTTATGGGCACAGAACCGCAGCACTGCCCAGGCCCCGGCTGCTGTGACCGTGGCCACCAGAGCGAAGACAGTACTGAGCACGTGCGAGCGGGCAGGAGCCGGGTGTGCTGGCTCTGTGTTGAGGCACGTTCTCTATCACTGATCCTCCGTTTCCTCCTTTGAAAACTGGGCAGTGGGTGAAGACAGCTTCCGCCCAGGACTCATGTATTCTGAGTTTAGGGCTCCGCTCTGGGCCTCCTTTAACCGTTCAGTTTGCTCTGGAGACCAACTAAGTCTCCCTGTGCCTGTGAGAAACCCGTGGGACAGGACAAGCCAGGTCTCTGTGGTGCACTGATCTTTATTGCCCGTACCCCCGGGGAGAGCGGCAGGCCAGAAAGACGTCCGCAGCCATCATGTCCCAAGCTCACTCGCTCTTCGCCCCCACGATCTGAGAGCTTCAGCGGGAGCTCCGAAGGGTCAGTCTGCACAGTCCCCACACCTGCTCATCACCACTCTGCAGCCGGTGCTGCTCCAGCCGGCCCGGTCACACCGTGCACACGTGTCCAGCAGCGGGAGGAGGCTTGTCCAGCTCCCCCCAGGCTCCTGGCACACGGCCGGCATCCGGTGGCGCCTCTGACACAGATTCCCTCGTGAGTGAGCTGGACTAAGAGCCACCCGCACCCCGTTTCCGAGGGCTGTGGCCCTGCACCAGGGGCCAAGGCTGATTTGGGCCTGGGGCGGTTCCGAGCACATACCTGGCCGTCCCCAAGGAGGCAGCCTGGTCACTGAGGCACTGCAGAGAAGGAGGCTGTGCTGTGGGCTGCACCTTCTGGTACCACCCGTCCTCCCAGAGGCTGGGAGCAGCGGACATGGCGAACACTGCTCTTCTAGGCAGAGCAGCTGGGGCCCCTCCCGCTCTGCCACCCCGGCCCGGCGGGCTCCTCACCTCGCACCTCCAGGCGGCACTCACACTGTGCCTCGCCTTGCAGGTTGGTGGCCCTGCAGACGTAGACACCCCCATCGTAGGGGCAGGGCTTTCTGATCTCCAGGGTCAGCACGCCCTGCTTGCTGAACATGCGGAAGCGGGCGTCTCCTCCCAGGTCCAGGCCGTTCTTGAGCCAGGAGATCTTGGGCTATAAACCAGACAGTGGGAAGGAGGGGGACTCAGGTCGAGAGGGCCTGGCAGGGATGGAGGGAGATCGGCATTTGTGTTTCTGCTCCGGGGCTCCCACTGGAGTCCCAAACTGTCCAAGGCTGGGAGCGGAGAGCCGACGGGGAGTGCCAGGCCCCGCTCAGGGAGAGGCAGGGAGAAGGGGACGGCTCGAGGCCGGAGCTCTGCCGCCTGGGCCTGAGTTCCCTACCTTGGGGCTGCCTCGGACGGCACAGCAGAGAGTGGCATTGTA